TTCAATTTCATTTCAGTGCATTGTAAGCATGAACAAAACAATTTGTAAATTAAGTAATGATTTCTCATGGCAATTATGACATGTTAATCCTTATTCAAATGATTTCTCTATCCTAAAATAAAGTTCTAAAGACTGAGGGCAGAAAGATTGATTTCTAAATTAAAAAAATAAAAACAAAAAATGTACTGCCGTTGATTCAATTCTGACTCATAGCAATCCTATAGGACAGAGTAGAACTACCCCTTGGGGTTTCCAAGACTTTTAAATCTTTACAGGAGTAGACAACCTGCCTGATCTTTCTCCCTCCGAGTGGCTGGTGGGCTTGAACCACAGACCCTGTAGTTAGCATCTCAATGCATAACCCACTAGGCCACCAGAGTTCCTACTGTTTTCTAACATACAAGTTAAAACAATGCAGAGTGCACACACTCAATGAATTCCATAGAAACTACTTACAATGGTCTTTTATATTTTTGTTTGTGAATTTAAAAAAAAAAAAACAACCACCGAGGATATCATACTATTTATTTACTATACTTAGTTTAATTCAGCAGCAGTCATTAAGTGCCATGGTGGCCTTTCCTAATTCTCTCCTTGTCCAGCTCCACTATAAAACCTGAAAGCACTGATTTGTTGTCCCAGCCTCTCTTGCAGCTAGGGGCAGTCATGTTCTTAGAGCTGCAGGGGGAAGGTTATTGAAGACTTTGAGTATCAACCTGTCTCATCAACTTATCAACTTGTAGTACAGGGGTGGGGAAACTTTTAAAAATCAAGGGCCATTGGGATATTTATAACACCATTTTCAGTCCCTACTGGTTGAACATTTAATAAACGCATCCCTAATGTCATGGCTGGAACTCCTTTCTTTGGTGATGTTAGCTAGTATTGAGGATTTCTTGGGCCTGTGGGCCTGAGGTTCACCACCCCTTTTTTGAACAAGTCTTTTACAGACAGATTGATACTCAAAGTCTCTAACAACCAATATGTATGAGTGCTGACCACTCAGAATGGATCCCAGACAAGAAGGTTGCTATGAGCCGGAAGTGATTGATGGCAGTGTGTTTTGGTATGTACAAACTGGAAGCCCTGTCCTCCCTGGTCAAAGATGGAAAATCACAGGATATTTGTTTGCCCTTGTCTTGTTTCTTCCTCCTTGAGGCATGCTTTTCTGAGGCGGAGAGGCTTGGAGCTGCACAGAAAGCATGAAAAAAGGTGTTCGGTTGAAGGTGTCAGAGAGAAAGCAAGCCCTGGTCCTTGAAGACACTAGGCAGACAAAGAATCTACCTCTGGACTTCTGGTTAAATGAAATACTCTTTGTATTTTCATGATCCACTGCTCGTCAGGGTGTCCATTATTTGCTGCTCTATGTCACCGATAGAAGTACCCCCCCCCCATGACAAGGTAAAGCAGGGAATAGTACCAGTCACCAGGGCCCAGTAACTTGGTATTCATGCATTCATGAATCCATTTGTCCGTTCCTTCGCTGAAAGAACATTCTAGGTCTGCCAGATGGACGGTTCCGTCTTGTGTTGTCCAAAGGGTGTGAAGAAGGAAGACCGTGTCCCTGTCCTCACCAGCACTACCTCTGCTGCAACGCACAGAGCCAATCCTGCATGAGGAACGTGCTCGTGTGGCAAAATGTGTTCACAATAGGACAGTCAGCACTCATAGGAAAAACGCCGAGAGTTTTGGGATGAAATAGCATTTGAGGTAGGCCTCGCAGCTTGGGTAGAAAATGATACCCAGGAATTCTAAGGGAAAGGCATTGTGACTATCACAGGTGGATTGGGCTTTAAAGGCCACATGGGGAAGCTTAAGGCTATATTGTGGCAGGATGCTGAGTGCCAGGTTGGGAAATTTCAACTTGAAGGTCTTGAGAAAGGACATGTTTTTGAAGCAGGAAGTGATCTGTGGGAAGTATACTAGGAGTGGAAGAGATTGAAAGCAGACATTAGTTGGGGGGGTCCATGTGGGAGGTATTAATAACTTGTGTTATGAAGATGGACAGCCTTGCTGCTGAACAGGAGGAGGACTTGAAGCACTTGCTGATGAAAAACCAGGATTGCACCCTTCAGGATGGATTACTACTCAACTTAAAGAAAACCAAGTTCTTCGCAACTGGACCAATAGGTAACATCATGATAAATGGGGGAAAAAAGAGTAAAGTTGCCAAGGATTTCACCTTGCTTGGATTCACAATCAATGCTCACGAAGCAGCAGCCAAGGGATCAAATGACACAGTGCATCAGGCTAATCTGCTACACAAAGTCTCACTGAAGTATTGAAAAGCAAGGGTGTTACCTTGAGGAGTAAGGTGCTCCTGACCCAAGGCACATTCTGAAATGTGACTCTCACCACGAATATTACAGTCTTATTAGTAGATTACAGATACTGATATCGTCTCGGTTATAAGTGGCATTGGTCAAAATCCTGGGAGGAAGATGGGGCTGTAGACTCCCCTGTAAAAAGTTAGTCTTGGCAACCCACAAGGTCAGTTCTTCCCCCTGTCTAGACGGCAGCTGTGAGTTGACTCGATGGCAGGGAGTGGTTTGGTTTGGTCAAAATCCAGGCCTTCCAGAAGTAGATGGAGCCATCTCCCCCTCCAAGAGGCCCAAACCAGATTATTAAATACACCCCAGTCTTTAAGGGTTTCGTGGTCTTCCATTACTTTCTATAAATATAATTCACTGAATTAGCAGAAGCACAGATCTTAAGATCGCCATTTCCTGGTTGAATGCTTCTTGGAGGCTCTGGCTAGAAACTCAAGCGGCATGTTCAACTTATGCCTCAGACCTCTTCAGAAGTGGCAGTGATGATGCAAAGCTTTGGTGTCTCCAGAAAGTCCCACATTTACACGTGGACACAGACGCACGGACATTGCTCTAAGTATCCCACCCCCACCATCATGTTTTAGGGTAGGGTTTGAGTTCTAAGTCTGTCTGTACATAAGGCAGATAGGAGGGAGAAAATAGGTTCGATTATATGCTCTTTTCGCTCACCATCCACAGCTCCGCATCGGGATCATTTACCTGAAAGTCCAAAACAGCGCAGTATTAGCAAGCCGAGCCACTGTATGGCACGTGCCATTCCTGCACCCGGTCTGCCCTTTTCTCTAACCACTATCCGTGGAGCTCCGTGCCAGACACTGGCAAAGATACCGGGCCGTACCATCTGAACAAAGCAGCCGCTAGCAGATCCCCTGGATGAAGGGGCTCCTGGCTGCACAGGGCAGATGGCTTAGCATACACTTTCCCATTTTCAAAAGACTGCTCAGGCATTCGGAAGCAGATGCGCCAAACTTAGACAAGGTATAGGAGAGGTCCTCCACTGTCCAGAAAGAAGGGAGGCTGTTCTGAAGAGGGTCCTGTAGCAGACCAGAGAGGGTTAATGGACTCTGGAGGTTCCACCTGCTCCTCCCAGGCACTGAATTGCTTTCCTTTGCACCAAGGGGTGAGTATTAACTAGGAAAGGTTAGGGTTCTTTTCAAAGGAACAGGGGCTTGGAGCCAGAGGGGGG